TAATAATAATAATAATAATAATAATAATAATAATAATAATAATAATAGACAGCCACTTTCTGGGAGGCCAACCCAGAAAGGTTGGGGAGCTCTGGATTAGAAGATGTCCAAAGGTCCTTTCCATTCCTCTCTGGGAGAGATAAGCAAAGCTGAACCGCTCCTGTTGAATTGAGGCCAGCCTTGTAGTCCTTCCCCACTCCAGGGGAGGGATCGCTTGCCCCAGGATATGACTGAGCCCCCCCCCACAAGGCCTCCCCAGAGGTTTTTTTTTTTTTTTTTAATTAGATTTATATGCCGCCCTTCTCCGGAGACTCAGGGCAGCTTACAATGTGCTCAGCAATAGCCTTCATCCTTTTGTATATATTTATACAAAGTCAGTTTATTGCCCCCACAATCTGGGTCCTCAAATTTACCTACTTTAGAAAGGATGGAAGGCTGCGTCAACCTTGAGCCTGGTGAGATTGGAACTTACAGTAATTGCAGACAGCTGGTGTTAATCACAATGCTATCAGTCTGCTGAGCCACCAGGTTCAGGGGGAAAGCAGGAGAAAGGGCGGAGTGGGGGTCAGTCCTTGGGGGGGGGGTCAGTGCTTTCAGAGAGGGGGGGCTCCATCTTTAGTGGACAGGTGCTTCTAATCAAGGCAGACGATGGCGCCCTCTTGAGGTAGACAGTGTCATCATTTATTCATTTTCTTCACTTTCGCAGCTTGGAATAGCCGTCTTGGAGAGCATCGGAAGGGTTGGGCTTCTCTGCGGAATAGTTTTCCCGACGGAGCGATTGAATTGAATTGAATTTATCGCCTTTCTATGCCGCCCAACTCCCAAGGGAGTCTGGGCGTCTTACAGCAAAAATAATGCGAACAATGAACATAGAAAAATTATTAAAAGACATTATAAAAACATTTAAAAACATTAAAAGCCCATGCACACCATTCATGACTGGATCTCGCAAGATTGCAACGGGGAGATCAACGGCCCCAGGCCTGCCGGAAAAGCCAGGTCTTCACCGCTTTCCGGAAGGCCAATAGGGTGGAGGTAGTCCGGATCTCAGGAGGCAACTGGTTCCAGAGAGCTGGGGCAGCCACATAGAAGGCCCTCCCCCGCGGGCCCACCAGCCGGCATTATTTAGCATGAGAATGAGACAAAAATGCAGGGACAGCAGCTCAGCCTCCCTAATCCTAACCCTCAGGCTTGTTTTTTTTTTTTTTTAATTTGATTTATATGCCGCCCTTCTCCGGAGACTCAGGGCGGCTTACAGTGCGTTAAGCAATAGCCTTCATTCTTTTGTATATTTATACAAAGTCAGCTTATTGCCCCCACAAACTGGGTCCTCATTTCACCTACCTTAGAAAGGATGGAAGGCTGAGTCAACCTTGAGCCTGGTAAGATTCGAACCTGAAGAAATTGCAGGCAGCTATGTTAATAACAGGGTGCATTAAACCACTGTACTACCAAGGCTTGTTGGGGTGGGGAATCCACCCTCATAAAGTCTTTGCAAGTGTGGAGCGATGGTGGGCTGCTTGGGGTTCCTTTGGGGCAGGGGTCCTCTACCCCTATGCCGTGGCTCACTACCGGATCATGGCCACTTTGGAACTGGACCGCCTGAGTGGGGGGGGGGCACTTGCGCTCACGCATGCAGTTCCATTCACACGAGCTGTGGGGGAATAGTTTACCCGACAGAGCCAATGAGAGGAAAGGCAGGAACAGCTGCCGAGCCTCCCCCGGAGAAGGGACCTCACAAATCACTCTCTTCTCCATCTGGAGTCTTGTTTTCTTTGGGGTTCATTTCTTGCAAGTGCAAATGTTGATACAGGGGCTTTGGGGGTTACTATGCCCCTCCCCACTTTCCACAAGATGCCTTCCGCTGCCAATCGATTACAGCCTTGATGGATATAATTAACCCATATGGACAAGTATCTGGTTTTAAAATAAATACAGCTAAAACAAAGATAATAGCTAAAAATATGACTAGAAGCCAAAAAAAGAAGAGATAGAAAGGGTAACAGGATTTGAGATAGTAAAGAAGGTTAAATATTTAGGGGTTTATATTATGACCACAAATATGAAACTATATCAGCACAATTATGAACCGTTGTGGCAAAACATACAGAAAGAGGTGGAAAAGTGGAAAAAAATTACAATTGTCTTTGCTGGGAAGGATAGCGGCAGTAAAAATGAATGTCTTACCAAGGTTTTTTTTTTTTTTTTTCTCAAATGATACCTATATTTAAAAAAAGATGAAAATTTGAAGGAATGGCAGAAGGGCATAAATAAGTTTGTGTGGGCAGGGAAGAAACCGAGAGTAAATCAAAAGATAATGCAAGATACAAGAGAAAGAGGAGGTCTTAAAATGCCCAATTTAAGATTGTATTACGAAGCCGCTGCCCTCTCAGCAGTTACTGATTGGATAAATTTAACGGAGGAAAGGATATTAAACATTGAAGGATATGATCTGGTCTACGGCTGGCATGCTTATTTATTGTATGATAAGAAAGACTTTTAAAAGTCATATATGAAGGAATGCTTTATTGCGTGTCTGAAAGAAGTATCAATACAAATTAAACGATAAGTTACCAATATGGACAGTTCCCAGACATGCGATAGAGAATATAAATGTGGAGCAAAAACAAGATAAGATTACATATAAGGAACTCCTTTATAAAGAAGGAGTTAGATTACAATTAAAATCTATGGAGGAAGTGGACACACATACACCTTTGTATGGGGAAAGCAGAAGTTTGGGGTCTTTACCTGACCACAGTATGAGAACAAACACCGTCCCAGCATTTGAGATGTATTTTGGGGGCAGATCTAAGGACATCTGCTGCAGCAGTTAAAAGCTGAATTGGAAATGTATACAATTCATGCACTGTCTAAAATTAGAGCATATAAGTAACTACTGGCACAAAAATCAACGAAATGGAAACTGATTGTTAGGTCTTGCCTCTCCTCTCTCCTCAAGAAAGCAGAACTCTTGAAACCGGCATTATTTCAAAAGGAAACTTTTATTGCGGGGGAAAGTGATGGCAAGGGAAGCAAGGCAGGATCTGAAGTTCCCGCTCAAAAACCTGTTAGATTAAACGTTGCAAAAAAAACCCTCCCCTATGTCCAGTCCTAGGTGGGCCAATCCACAGGTGTGAAGCTGTTATGAGAACTTGAGGTTGAGGTGGTGATAATTTGTTCTTAGGTGCCACCTTGCCTTTTCCTTTTCAGAGCCGAGACAAAACAGATGGCCCCAGGCAATTTCCTCCCCCTCCCCCTCCCTTTCCCAAGCAGGTACATCAAAGTGACAGGACGACCAGACAGGGGAAGAAGTTGGAAAGGAGCATTCAAGGCCCCCTCCCCTCCAGAATGGCCTTCCTGTCTCTTGCGTAACAGGTGAACAAGTTAAAAAAAGAGCTGCCCAAAGAATCAAGGATATAGATTGTGCTCTGTCTGCCAGGGCCACGCTGGGCTTGGAGGTCAGCTCTCCCTTCGGCTCCACCCCTACGATCTTCCCTGAGTCTTCTCTGTCCTCCCGAAATGACCTGGTCAGGGTTCAGGATACCGGATGTTTGCTTGTCTTTAGAGCAGGATGAGTGACAGTTGGTTTAATGTCAAGGTTCCTTCCCAATTCAGGACTCTGAGACTGGAATCTTTCTCTCTTTTTGTTTTTGTTTTTTTTAAAAAGTTTCTTTTTATTTTTTACATAAACAAACAAAAAAATATACAATGTATTTTTTCTGAACAGAGTATTGGCCGCTTCACAAATTTAGACAATTTTTAGTCATTTCAACACAATTTATATATTCCCTTTTGCCATAGTATTTATTCTCTCTATTTTTTTTATAGACCAATATTACCCTTCATCCTAACCATTAATCCTAACCAAATTCAATTATTCCCTTCATCTCTATATTAAACCCCTTAAATTTAAAATCTCACGTAAAATAATCCTTAGTATTTCCTTAATATAATCACTAGTATTTTATATTATCAGCTATTTCAATATCCAACATCTTAATAAAAATCAATTAATTATGTAGTAATACAATCATTCATTTCTTATAAAAATAATAAACCAAATTGTTTTATACCATACATTTCCTTAAATCTTACAGGAGTTATTATTGTATAAATAATAAATATTATTCATATTCATATTTCTAAAACATATATCAATTCATTCATACATCGATATAGTTTTCTATTATTTTATGTTATTTAATTAATATCACAATCTTATCTTTTTTCTAACATTCATTACATCTATAAATCTTACTTCAATTCATATTTCAATTCTAAATGTATACAACATATTCCTTTTTTATTTCTTTCTCCCTTTCTGTTTCTATTTTTTTATTTTTCTTTCCCCTTCTTTTCTTTTGTGCTTTAAAATCCTGAACTCTCCTGTTTTGCCCTGTATTTCCCATGATTTTCCATCTCTTTTCCCTTTTTCTTATTTTTCCACTATTAATCCCAGTGCAATCATTTTGTATTTTAAAATCATGGGCTCTTCTATTTTGCCCTGTATTTCCCATTGTTTTCCATCCCTTTTCCCCCTTTCTTGTTTTTTCACTGTTAATTCCATTGTAATCGTTTAAATTTTATATATTCTTTCTGTTCCACCCTTTTCCCCCTCTTTGTCTCTTTCCACCCTTTCTATTTTTTTTCCATTGTTAATCCCAATGTAATCTTTAAAATTCTCCTTTTTATTGTTACTACCCACATAATCATTTAATTTTCCATAGTCAATCTCTTTGTCTTTGTCTTCCTCTTTGTTTTCAATCTCACTTTCTTGCTTCTCATTCATTATTTGTACTCTTTTGTACTCTAACATAATTTTTGGATCATCAAGTTTTGATTTTCCATGCAACATTGTGATTATTCCCTTTACTTCCGTTTTCAGTTCCGGCTGGAAGTTGACATGAGTTTTGCTGGTCGTCTGCCTGTTTATCCTACATAGTGGGGGTTACAGTCATTACGGTGTATGGTGTAATGTAGATTAATCCTGATTTTTTCTTCTAGGGCTGCTGGGTCTTTTGGTTTTGGAGGGCTTTAGTTGGTTTAGATGAGAATTAGGGTTGGCCTTGGCCTGGAGATGCCATGATTTTGGTCTTCACGGCAGCTTTCCTTCTTGCCTGTGCAATGATGGCAAAAAAAATGGAGGAAATCAACAGCACCAGTTGCATGTTTGTTTGTTGTTTATGTTTTATTAAATTTATATACCGCCCTACTCCCGAAGGACTCAGGGCGGTGAACAGGCACAGAAGAAAATACATCAATACAAAAGTTAGAAACAATTTAAAACCAAATTAAATAATTTAGCCCAAGACAATTAAAAATCCCAATAATTTAAAATAAATTAAAATTTCAGTTTAAAAATTTAAAAGAAAGGGGAGAAACTTAGGCCAGGCCGGCTCGCAGGAATAGGAGGGTTTTAAGAACACGGCGGAAAGTGCGCAGATCTGGGATCCTCCGTATCTCCGGGGGGAGCTCGTTCCAGATAGTGGGTGCCCCACAGAGAAGGCCCTCCCCCTGGGGGCCGCCAGTCGACACTGCTTGGCTGATGGCACCCGGAGGAGCCCCTCTCTGTGAGAGCGTACCGGCCGATGGGAGGCTGTTTGTGGTAGTAGGCGGTCCCGTAAATAACCAGGTCCTAAGCCATGGAGCGCTCTAAAGGTGGTAACCAAAACCTTGAAGCACACCCGAAAGACCACCGGGAGCCAGTGCAGCTCACGCAGGAGAGGTGTTACACGGGAGCGCCATGTTGCATGGGGTGGGGGCGTGTTTCTTCTCTTCTCTCCTCAGCTGTCTCTCCCCCCACCACACTGCAACCTCCCCAGGCAGGAGGGGAAGCAGCCAAAGAGGAAGGAAGGATGGATTGCAACCCTCCTATACCCAAAGAGCTGCTCGTGGGGGCTTCCTCACTTCTCCCCCAGGGCTTCTAATGCTTCCAGCTCATCATGGGCAAGGGTTTTTTTTCTTCACGGATGGTTTCAGCTGCCCTTTTCCTTCTCCCCTTCCCCTCCAGTCATTCCTGGACAGAAATGCCCCATTTCCTCAGGGTGCCCCAATTCCTGCTCCTGGCTCCTTCCCCATTTGTCTCTCCCTCCTGCCTCGGAGCTGATGGGTCAGAGAGGCTGAGCTGAGTTGGATCTTTGGTTGCAGAGCAGCCCATCAGAAGAGCCACAGGAAGCCCACGACCCCCCCCCCCCATTATGGAAAAGTTTGGATACCTTAGGAAAAGTTTAATTCCCCACCCGGAGAACCCTGATGTGGTCTTGGATCTCTGGTCTATTCGAAGCTCAGAGTTTTGTCTCCAAAACAGTATCAATAATCTGCAACAATCAGACTAACCTCCGATGTTAATTTAGTTTGCAGGAACAACCGTCTTTGAATCCCAGCTTCTATACCATACTTGGGGGAAGAAGGAACTCTTTGTGAAGAGTTTGTGATCACGGCAGGTTGTCACTTCCTGACAGAGATTATTTCTGCGTCTTCTCCACAACCAGCCTGACAGAGGACAAAAAGAGAAGACAGCTAGTTTATTTTTTATTTATTTTTTTAAATTTAATTTATATGCCGCCCTTCTCCGGAGACTCAGGGCGGCTTACAATGAGCTAAGCAATAGCCTTCATCCTTTTGTATATTTATACAAAGTCAGCTTATTGCCCCCATAATCTGGGTCCTCAATTTACCTACCTTAGAAAGGATGGAAGGCTGAGTCAACCTTGAGCCTGGCGGGATTCGAACCTGCAGTAATTGCAGGCAGCTGGTCTTAATAACAGGGTGCTTTAGACCACTGTACTACCAAGGCTCTTTCAAGGGCAGCAGCTCCTGCCTGAGCTGGAGAAGGATTTATTCTGAATTCCTCCCTAGGATCCTGCACTGAACCACCATCAGTTACTTTACAATGATAATGCTGAACCTTTTGGATTCTTGTTGCTGGTACACGACAGATGGTATTTCCCCATATACTTTGGGCTCAGTAGTTCTTCATTCAACTGTCACAACATTTGTGACCCAATCTTAACCTTGCCAGATCTAAGAACCAGCAATTTTGGCTGATCTTAGAAAGCTAAGCTGGGTCTGGCTGGGTTAGAGAATCACAAGCCACTCAGAAGGCCCATCCAGGAAGAAGGAAATGGCAAAGCACTTCCAAATTCTTGCTGAGAAAATTACCAGGAAGTGCTGAGATGAACTTGGTGAAACTCAATTGAGGAGACGCATCCTGCATCCTCCCTCCCTCTTATGACTCGTACTCTGAGTAGGAGCAGTAGCAGCAGCTTCCACCACTTCCTCCCTGCTCTTGCCTGTCCCCAAGTGTGATTTACTAGAAGGGGCAGAGGCAGTGGTGAAATCTGAACCGGTTTGCTACCGGTTTGCTGGCCACGCATATGCGGCAAGTGTGCGTTGTGTGCTTGTGCATGCACAGTATGCACTAAAGAGGGCTGGGGAAGGTAAGTAGAACAGCGAAGGCGGGATCAGCTGTGCTGCACGATTTAGCTTCGCTAGCAAGCAAAGCTGGATTTCCTGCTTTCTAGCAAAGCTAAACCCCGTGGCACAGCTGATCATCGGAAATACTGGTTTGGAAGAACAAATAGCTTTTTAAAACTACCGTAGGTAACTACCAGTTCGCCCAAACCAGTAACTTTTTAAACTACCAGTTCAACCAAATCAGTAGTTTTTATCACTACCGGTTTCTCCCAAACCGGAGCAAACTGGTAGCATTTCACCTCTGGGCAGAGGCTATGGGGCTCCTCCCTCCATGACCTCCCTTTCCATCAGAGCTTCCCTTTGCCAGGTGACATGGCAAAAAAAATCTTCTTGAGGGACAGGATTATGGGTTTTCTAGTACTTCCCAGATCATTGAAGAGACTTTTCCTAGACTCCTGAGCTGCTGATGTTTCCTCCTCTGAAGTAAGTCCACTGAGGCCAATGAGGCTCCTTCCCAGACAAGAGGAATGTGGGGAACGCATTGAGATTTACAGGAAGTGGAAAAATGACTGCATAGTTTCTTCTTCTTCCTTTCTGACCCATGTTCAAAATGCTGTTTGTGGGGAAGGGTCTCCTGGAGGTCCTGGCTGCAACTCTTAGGGAGGCTCTCTTCCCATCCACACCAGCTCAGTCAAAGAGAAAGACCCCCAGGGGTGGGGATCAGTGACTGTTTGTTTCACTTACCTATCAGGAAGAGAATCCCAACTCCTGAGATTGAGGCAGCCACCGAAATCCTCCACCTTGTAGCTGAAGGAGGAGAAACATGGTTCCAATTAGACGGATGCTGAGTTCCCTGAAGCGGAGATGCTGAGCAACTTTCACTGGCCTCCAGGAAGTGCCCCCGCCTGAAGGAAGCCCCTCCCCTCCAAGGCTGAAGAGGGTGGAGCTAGCAGCCTTGAAGGGCAGCAGGAAGAGCCACAACCAATCATGTATCATATCATATCATATATTAACATGTGTCATTTCTTCATACTTTTACTGTTAGGTTACCACTTTCAAGTCCCCTGACAGAAATCACTTGTCTAGTATCACTAAATGTAGGGTTATATTTCTTGCTCTCCACCCGAAGACATGAGATGGTTCCTCCCAACACCATTTCAAACATTGGTGAAAAATCTACTTCTGCATGTCACAATCTCTCAGTCTCTCACCTGTTTCCTCCTTCCAGGCCAAGACCAGGGGCTCCTGCAAACCCTCGTGCTCCAGGTGACACCGAAAGTGATCCCTCTCCTTGGGGTCGATTTCAATGCTGAGCCAGATGTAATAGGTCCCATCTGAGTTGGGGACCACGTTCCTATGGAGGGTCTCATACTGGCAGACCTCTCCGTCTTTCGTCCAGGTGGCCTGGATCTCCTTGGGGTAGAAGCCAAAGGCCTGGCAGATGAGGACCTCCAGGCTGTCATCCACCACCTTACAAGTCACCTTCCCCACTGGAGGCTCTGCAGAAACAGCAACGCCAAAGTTCCTGGGATTTTGAGAGTTTCTGGCCAGGTGATTGAAATAGCAAGACCTCATCTGGCCATCCTCTCCCACTGCTCCCTCTCCTTGCCTCATCCTGTGGGAGCCTCACAAATGGGGGATTGAAGCTCTTTAGATTTATTTTTGAAAGGGATGCGTAGAATTCTCACATTGGCCTACGCAATCCTCAATTTAGTGGACTGATTCAAATTGAAGCCCCCAAATTGAATTTGTTACAGTTGTTCAGGTGGAAATCTGGGACAGACCGATCATTTCCTTCCCACCCAAACACAGGACATCCGTTTCTTCTGCTCTGCAAGACTTTCCCAGGGAAATAGAAGGAGACCTTCAGCACGAATTTCTTCCTCAGTTTCTTTTTTTTTTTTTAAAGTACTTACTTTGGGGGGCACTGAAGGATATTTTCCTTCTGTAATGTTGTATGGGATACTTTTCTGCAAATATTTGAAAAGGTGGCTTGGCTGTTTAGGATAGAAACAATATGAGGAGGGGGAGTCTACAGAAACATGCTCAGTGGAGACCCCCTTTTGCCACTCACCGATCTTCTGCAGAGTTTTGTTCTTGTAGGAGAGGTATCTCTGCAGCCCCTCAATGCAGGTCTCCTCCAGGTAGACTTTGTTTCTCTTAGACCATCCTGGATCCTCCTCCCACTTCTCCTTGACCTTCTGGGCCTGGGGCTGAGCTGTCACCCATCTGACAGTTCCCTTATCAAAGCTGATGAAGTCCATTCCTTTGTAGCCGTAGTGTAAAAATCCTCCTTTGCTCCCATCTTCCTTGAGCTCACAGCCCAAAACCACCTGCCAGGTGTGAAGCCCTGAAAGAGACTCAGAGGATGTTGGTGTAAATGAAAAGGGTCCAGAATTCTACCCGTCTTCCCACTTGTGGAGAAATACGCAATTTCTCCTTCCCCCCTTTATCACCCCGGGAGAAACGTCTTTTACTTCAATTAACTGTGTTTGGCTGGCGTCAAGCTATGTAGAATTTCTAGGTGAGGGAGATAATTTTTTTTTTTTATTTGATTTATATGCCCCCCGCCTCCGGAGACTCAGGGCGGCTTACAATGTGCTAAGCAATAGCCTTCATCCTTTTGTATATTTTATACAAAGTCAGCTTATTGCCCCCACAAACTGGGTTCTCATTTCACCTACCTTAGAAAGGATGGAAGGCTGAGTCAACCTTCAACCTTCAATTGGGGATGTTGGTGTTGGGGGGGGGGGTGTCTTTCCTTTTCATGAAAGAAAATCTCACAGTTACATCCCCTGCAACCATTGGAGGTCAAGGATGTCACTGGCTCTGCTCACCTTCAGCCTGGTGGTCCAGTTTTGATAACTTCTCCAGGTCAGCTCTGAAGACCTGCTCAGGGGCCAGAAAGGTCTCGTCCTCTGCCTCCTCCATCCAGGGCACTAGAGGCTCCATCTTCTTGGTGAGGCTGTCAAAGCGAGCGATGGGCTGGTCATCCAGGTAGCTCTTAATGAAGAACTGAGGAAGCCCCTGGCTGGGCTCTGGCAGTTTCAGGTAGAAGTAGGACAGGGAGTGTAAGGAGGAGCCTGGAGAGGGAGGAGGGAGAAGGGAAAATGATGGGATGGAGATAGACTGCAGCTCCATCGCCTCTGACATTTTATTGTCACCCAGCTGCCCTCTTTCTAAAGAAGCCCCAGCATCCCTTGGCTGACCTTACAAACATCTGGGCAGACCCACATGTGGTTAGAGTATTTTTTATTTTATTTATTTTATTGAATTTATATACCGCCCTACTCCCGAAGGACTCAGGGCGGTGAACAGCCATAGAATAAAACATATAAATACAAAATTTAAAATAAGATAAAACGAATTAAATAATTTGGCTGAATAAATTTAAAACCCCAATAATTTAAAACCAAATTTAAAATTTCCATTTAAAAAGGGGAGGCCATCTTGATGAAATAAGAAAGTCTTGAGCGCGTGACGGAAGGTGCGCAGATCCGGGATCCTCCGTATCTCCGGGGGGAGCTCGTTCCAGATACTAGGTGCCCCCACAGAGAAGGCTCTCCCCCTGGGGGCTGCCAGTTGACCTTGTTATGGGAGCGTACTGGTCAGTGGGAGGCTATTGGTGGTAGCAATAGCTACCCCCCCAGCTTCTCTGGCCCCCCCAAGATTCCCAGCCAGCTGCTTGTGCACCTGACTCAGACGGGAATCTCCCTCCCCAACCACACGGGGAGTGAGACTGCCACACTGGAGGACTGACCTCAGCTTCCTTGTTAGAGTTAGAGACCTGGTTGCTCTCCAGAGAGGCAGCCCAGCACCTCCCCCACTCTCCAGCCCTTCCCAGGCGACTCTACTATCAGTGTGGGCTCCATGGAAGGGAGCCCCGCCCCTTTGCCAGACCAGGAGAGGCAAGAGGTGGGAGAAAATGGGTTGAGGAGGATGGGGGGGCACCATTGCCACTCCGGCCTGACGCTTAAAAGGCAGTTTGGCTGCCCTCCTCCCATCACAGCCATGTCACCTCTGTTCTCCTGATGCCCCCCACACACACCCAGCCCCCCCGCAACGCCAGAAGTGGCGCACCACCTCTGCTGCGGAAGCCGTGCTGCCTTGCTCGTGATTGGCTGGGGGCTATTTGCCCCTTGCAGCCAAAGGCCCGGTGTCTGGGTGAATGGGCAGGGACAGAGGGCCAGGGGGGCCATTGGCCGTGAAAGGGCCAGCGGAGGAGGAAAGCTGGCTGTAAATGGGCTGAGGCGGGTGGCTGGCAGCCAAGGGACGTGTCTAAACGTCCCATTTCCCCTTCCATGCTGGGAAAATTATACAATAATAAAACAAAGCTGCAAACTCTGCTACAAAGAGCCCCTCCTTTTCTTCGCCCCTCCGGTCTGTCCCCCAACTCTCCTGATGCAACCTTTTCTTTCCCCATCGCCCTCCAGCCCCGCGCCCCTCTCCACCTGCAGCCAGGTATGCCAAGGAAAGCCCCGCCCCTTTTGTCCCTCCAGGAAAGTCCTGATGCTTTTTCCCTCCTGAAAAGCCCCTTCTGTCCCCCAACTCTCCTGATGCAACCTCTTCTTTTCCTATTGTCTTCTACTGTCCCTGCTCCCCCCTCCCAACATCTAAAACAGACCAGTCCCAGGATAATCCATAACTCAAACCTGGCTGGGATTTCGCTGCCCAAATAGCCTTTCGCTCTCTATTCCGCTATTTTCTCCTAAATATAAATGGGAGTGGATTTATTTATTAGTTTGATTTATATGCCGCCCTTCTCCGGAGACTCAGGGCGGCTTACAATGCTTTTAAGCAATAGCCTTCATACTTTTGTACATACCTGCTTAGTAGGGCTTTTGGCCCCCCCTAAGCGGTGTTCTTTTTTTATACAAAGTCAGCTTATTGCCCCCACAAACTGGGTCCTCATTTTACCTACCTCGGAAGGATGGAAGGCTGAGTCAACCTTGAGCCTGGTGAGATTTGAACTCGCAGTAATTGCAGGCAGCTGGCAGCTAAATACTACTTTAACAGTAATTTAGTCCACTGCACCACGAGGCTGCCACCAGGATTACCAATGAAATACCAAAAGGTTTTATTTATATGAGACCTAACGAAACACGAAAGGGAAGGAAGGCCAGGAAAGGAACTTAGAGGGGGAGAGATCCAGCCCAGGTCAAAGCCCCCCTCCCCTTCTGCTTCCTCCCCTCGGGTCGCAAGTCCCTCCAGGCACTCACCGCAGCCGCTGCCCCACAAGGAGGCCCCCAGCACCGCTCCCAGGAGCCAGAGGGGCGCCCGTGGCTGCCGCATCGCCCTCCAGCCAGGTGCGCTTCTCACTTGCAACCAGGAATGTGTGAGCAAGGTATCAATATAACATGGTACAAGTGTAGATACAGTCTAGATATGACAAAGATGCTAAACTATATGGTTTTTTTTTTAAAGAATTAACAGAATTAGATAAATATTAACAGGAGCAGAAGAAAGATTGCACACGAAATTGTATAGTTACTTATTACTTGGGTATACTTGGGTATAAAGTTGGAAGAGGAACAAGTAAAAGAGACAATGATAACATGGGCAAAAAATTTGGGCCGTACAATAGAATGAGATAAATGGCAGAAACTGTGGGAAAGCAATTATAAATTAACAATGTCAACTGCATATAAAGAGAATTTGTAGAGTTTTACAGATGGCACCTGGCACCGGCGAGACTGGCAAAGATGTTTAAAAGTAAGTCAGCTAAATGTTGGAAGTGCCACCAGATACTTGGATCTTACTATCATATGTGGTGGACATGTGCAGAAGCAAAAAAAAATACTGGACAAAAAGACACGGTTGGAGAGCATGATAAAACAATGCATTGAGTTAAAGCCAGAAATATTTTTGCTGGGGATTTTACCTGAAACGTATATTAAAGAGAAGGTATTGTAAGGTCCCAAAATACACTTGAGTCACCAGAATGCCAGAGAGAGAGAGACTCAAGACGAGGCTTGCAAAAAAAGCAGATTTTATTTATGGCCAAAAACAAAATACTGGGTGGAACTATATCCGGAACATACAGATACAATGCATGCGAGGAGATAGCCACACCTTGGGGAAGGTATGGCGTCCTTTTATACCCTCAGAGATGTCAGCTTAGTACCCAATTCTGGCCTCCTAATTTAGGTTTGTGTATTCCTTGTTGCCCTGCAAGGGGAAATAGAAACTTCCCAATTAGTTTTATCTTAAGCATTTCTTTGTTTACTCAATTGGCCACTTAGGCCCCCTGACCCTGGAAAGTAGGAGTCTATCCAGATCAACATAAATTAAGACTGAGATACGTACCATGCTCTTAGATGGCACAAGAAAGAAACAGGGAGAAGATTGATATGAGTTCAAGTCAAATGGCAGGGACATTCGTTTGACAAATACCAGATACATTACAGGCCTAATAACAGAATATGTTTGTTACAGGAAATACAAATATAAAGGCATAATATATGTGATACAAATACAAAGGCATATGTGTATTACAAGAACCTAATGGTTACAGAATCTAGTATACCACTATATCATATCCTAGCATTATTTATTATATCCTTATTATTGTTTCCCTTCAGAATATTTAATTATCCATGTATTAACTGCAGCTAGAATTGTATTTGCACAACATTGGAAGAGTGAAGAGATTCCTATTGATGAGATTAGGAAAATATTAGAATGTGCAGAAATGAATAGATTTTTTTTTTGAAGTAAATTTTTTATTTTTAAACAAAATATAAAAACATCCATCATCCATTCCAATTACAAGTAGTGCGTCGGTCGGTTACAAATCTTTTGTGCTTCATCTCATATTCATCACTACGAATTCTCTAATTTCTCGTATTATCAATCTAACATATATCTTTATATCATTATTCTCATTTGTCATTCATTTAACAATGGCATTTTCATCCCATTAAAATCATTTCCATAAATTGTATTATAACATCCATTTCATATTTCATCAGAAATGAATAGATTAACATTAGTAATTAAAGAGAAAGAACAAACTGAATATTATAAGATACGGGAAGTATTTTATCAATGTTTGGGGAAAACAAGGGAAATTGGAAACGAGGGAAGAAGACTAAAGAAGAGTAGAAAATATGTTAAGATAGAGGTATAAACAAGATGATAATTGTTAGTATTATGATGAGGAAGAAAATTATGATTAATGTTAGTATTGTGTTTTTCTTAGAAGATGTGTTAAGAAGAAAGAGCCTTGGTAGTACTGCGGTCTAAGGCACCCTGTTATTAAGCTGGTTATTAAGACCAGCTGCCTGCATTACTGCAGGTTCGAATCTCGCCAGGCTCAAGGTTGACTCAGCCTTCCATCCTTTCTAAGGTAGGTAAATTGAGGACCCAGTTGTGGGGGCAATAAGCTGACTTTGTATAAATATACAAAAGGATGAAGGCTATTGCTTAGCGCATTGTAAGCCGCCCTGAGTCTCCGGAGAAGGGCGGCATATAAATCAAATTAAAAAAAAAAAAAGAAAAGAAAAGAAAATGAATAATAGGTTAATAATGTTCCATTGCTTAATATGTTGCAATTTTTAAGATTAGAGATTTAATATTAATGTGAATGATGTTGTAAATGTCAAAAGAGATATTTGTACCCAGACGACACACTGTTTAAGGAAAGATAAAATGTTTATATGTTGAAAAATAAAAAAATAAAATAAAAAACTGTATTTTAAAAAAGCATTTCTTTCCGTTTCTCCACACAAGAACCCTGTGAGGTAGGCTGAGCTGAGAAATGAGCTTCTAGGACTGAGGGTGCACTTCAGCCTCGGTGTGCCCAGGCCACGCAGCACCTGACTGGCATCGCCTGGGCCTGGAATCTAAACCAGATCGGGCTTGTCTCCTGCTTGAAGGTTGAGACATCCTGGAGGAAGAGAAACGCTCAGGTAGAATCGGATCCCTCTCCAACTTCTTGGAAAGAAAAAAAAATTATTGGCACCTGGGCAGCCTCCCCCCCCCACACTCTGGGAAAAGCAGCAAAAATATTGAGTCCCTTTGGTGCTAATAAAAGATTTATTGATATATTCAGACATTCCCCCCAATAATTATATTTTATAGCGAAAGTTAAAATACTAAACCCAAAAGGAAACAAGAAAACCAAACAAAAACAGAGCCTGGATAGCTCAACAGACTAAGCACTGTAATTTAACACCAGCTGTCTGCAATTAAAGTAAGTTTGAATCTCGCCAGGCTCAAGGTTGACTCAGCCTTCCATCCTTTCTAAGGTAGGTGAAATGAGGACCCAGATTGTGGGGGCAATAAGCTGACTTTGTATAAATAGACAAAAGTATGAAGCCTATTGCTTAACGCATTGTAAGCTGCCCTGAGTCTCCGGAGAAGGGCGGCATATAAATCAATTTTTTTAAAAAAAATGTGTATAAAAAGAAAAAAACAGACACCACACAGGTACCCCCAATTTAATACTGAGGAATATCTTTCAACAATAAAAGCCCCCCCCTTTTTTTGCAAAACAGCTTCACAATTTACGAACTCCTTCCTGCTCTATTTACCCAACCAATTTGACCTGCCAAACTCTCTCCTGTTAAAAAAAGGGATCGATCCATTTGTCCTGACGTAGGATTTTTTCAAAGGGACACGGTGGCTCAGTGGCTAAGATGTCCCGAGCTTGTTGATTGAAAGGTCGGCAGTTCAGTGGTTCGAATCCCTAGTGAGCTCCCGTTACTTGTCCCAGTTTCTGCCAATCTAGCCGTTCGAAAGCCGCCCCCTAGAGTCGGGAACGACTAACACATATGTGCGAGGGGAACCGTTACCTTTTAAAGACTCTTTTCAAGGGGGATAGGTGAGGGAAGAGATCCCGTCCCGTCACTCCCACTCCCGCCGGGTGCGGCCAAAGCCTGAAGGCCTGAGAGGGACCGGGACTCCCCGCAGGCTCTCCGGCCGCCCTCACTTGCTCTCTCCGGCCTCCTCCATCTCTGCTTGGAGCCTCCCCGCAACTCCGAGGCCCAGCCGGGCGCTGTTTCCCTCCTTGCCAGGCGCAGAGGTTTCTCCATCCCTCCGCAGCCTCCGTTTCCATGCAGATGCCGCCGTTGCAGGGCAAGAACCGGGAGCCACAGAGCATCCGCCTGGTTGCCGCTCCCGGGAGCCTCAATGCCAGGGGTGAAATCCAGTAGGTTCTGACAGGTTCTGGAGAACCGGTAGCGGAAATTTTGAGTAGTTCAGAGAACCGGCAAATGCCACCTCTAGCTGGCCCCAGAGTGGGTGGGAATGGAGATTTTGCAATATCCTTCCCCCAGGAGTTGGATGGGAATGGAGATTTTGCAGTATCCTTCCCCTGCCATGCCCACCAAGCAACACCACGCCCTCCAAGCCACGCCCACAGAACCGGTAGTAAAAAATATGGATTTCACCACTGCTCAATGCTGTCGGTTTCTCCCCTGGAGGTAGGAAGCCCACCCTCAACCCAGGAAGAGTATCTCTCACCTCTGCCTACCTCACAGGATTGTTGTGGGGGATGGAGAATCAGAAGAAATGCTTTTTTATAGTCTGAAGTACCTGGAGGACCTGATGGTTGCAAGGGGGTGACTGGGGTGTGTGTGGGTAGAGAGTGTTTGGAAGTGTGGGGGGGGGGTCTGGCCCTAAGAAAAGGCCGTTGCTTTTTTGATGTTCCATGGCTTCCGTGTAAGAATTCCTCTCTTTCCACACTTGCTGGTTTGCAGAGCTGCCATTTTACCAGAGTGTTTCCAGAAGGGACAGGGGCAAGGGGTGAAATCCAGCAGGTTCTGACAGGCTCCGGAGAACCGACAGCGGAAATTTTGAGCAGTTCAGAGAACCAGCAAATACCACCTCTGGCTGGCCCCAGAGTGGGGAGGGAATGGAGATTTTTTTAAAAAAAAAATTGATTTATATGCCGCCCTTCTCCGGAGACTCAGGGCGGCTTACAATGCGTTAAGCAATAGCCTTCATTCTTTTGTATATTTTTTATACAAAGTCAGCTTATTGCCCCCACAATCTGGGTCCTCATTTTACCTACCTTGGAAAGGATGGGAGGCTGAGTCAACCTCGAGCCTGGTGAGATTTGAACTTGCAGTAATTACAGGCAGCTGATGTTAATAACAGTGCTTTAGTCTGCTGCACTACCAGGGCTCTATTTTGTAGCATCCTTCCCCTGCCACGCCCACCAAGCCACACCGTGCCCACCAAACCACTCTCACAGAACCAGTAGTAAAAAAATTTGGGATTTCACCGCTGGACAGGGGACAAGTCTTTCTCGGTGGGGCATTCTGGGAGTTGTGGTCTACGGGGCTGAAATAT